AGATGTGCAGGAGGCAGCTGATCGATGTCTCTCTCTCCGATGTTTCTAACTCTCTATCTCTCTCCCTTCCTCTCTGTAAAAAATCAATAAAATATATTTAGAAAAAAAAAAAAAGAAAAACCCCAAATGCTCTCTTGTATCCATTTTAAGAGTAGGATTGGCGCTTTCCGCTATTACCTGAGTCCTGATCTATCACCCCAGGGAGAGCTTGCCAATCCTTGCAAGGGGGCTCACCAGGCGGAATGGGGGTGCCTTGAACACAAGCATGGCGACACCCCGACTGGTCACCAAGATGGCCACTGAGTGACCAGTGGGCTGAGCGTCCAGGCGTGGAGACGGGTCATGTCCAGCAGGATGGAGCCAAAAGCACGGGATTTCATCACGTACTCAGAACAGCATGCAATTTAAACATAAATGATTTATTTCTGGAATTTTTCCTTCAATACTCTCAGACCCCAGGTTAACTGAAACCCTGGGAACGGAAACTGTGGGCAAGAGGGGCTGCTGCTCTGTCAGAGTGTCATCCGACTGACCTGTGACCTGAGCCAGAGGCTCCCCGACTCCCCAGGTGGGAGACAGGCTCCGGGGACGCAGTGACCTGCCCCAGGCCACGCACTGATCAGCGGGAACTGGGCTTGGACCGGGACTCAGCTGCCCTCGGCTCCTGCCCGAGAACCAGGCTGAGGGGAGCCTCTGCCCAGTCACACCGCCACCTGCCCACCCACGCCCCCTCCACCAGGAGGCCCCGTGATGCCCACCTGTCCACCCCTCCCCCTCCGCCAGGAGGCCCCGTGCTGCCCACCTGCCCATCCCCTCCCCCTCTGCAAGGAGGCCCCGTGCTGCCCACCTGGTGCCCGGATGGTGCGTGCACACGGATGGCACAGAGCGACGCCCATGCGGCACCCGAGCGTGGAAACTTAGGAACAGTTTGCAGAGGAGGCAGAACCCACTCGTGGGCAAGACCCGTGGACGTCCTCACACGCACTTACAGCCAAGGCCACGCGTTAGGTCTGCTTGGCCTCCAGCCTCTCCCTGGGGCGCAGGGAGCACCTCCCGTCTCGCTCCAGCGGGTCCTGGGGACGCGGACTCACCAGCAGGGTGAGCCCAGGCCTGGTGGCCGGGGACAGACCCCACACACACGCACGAGGAACGGAGACAAGTCACCCTCAAGTGGCCGTGGTCTCGCGTGAACACCGAGGAAGGTCGCCGTGCCTCTCGGGCGGCCGGGAAGGTGTCAGGGCAGCGGCTGCCCCGGTCCGGAGAGCAGGCAGGTCTTGCTGCGAGACTCTCCCTCGTCAAACGCACTTCGAGACGGTGCCACCGAGCGCCCGAGACGTGAGGCAGCAGCCGGCTCCCAGGCGCCCCAGCCGTGAGGAGGCAGAGGGCTCGCTCACTCCACACACGGGCGGCTACTGGCCACTGGTCAGCAGGAGGCAGTAACTGGATGGCCGGTCCGTCCCCCTTAGGACTTTCGTTACAGCTCGAAGTCATCTCAGATACATGAGGGAGCTTCTGAGCGGGTGAGGTGAGTCCCCACACCCGCACCCAAAACAGAGGGCGACCTTCACCCTGAGCCGGCCACGCACACGCCACGTGCAGGAGTGGAGGTGTGGCCCTGGGTTTCTGAGCTCACGCGCCACAATCCAGCCCGTCACAATCACCCCAAAGTGCTGCTTTCGTCTTTATTCTCGTCCTGACTGAGCCACGTGTGCTCCCTGCAGGTCTGACATCACAGAAAACGGGACACGAACCCCCAGGCCCCCCTCGGAGACACCGCTTCCCTCTGGAAGCACTGACGGCGGGCAGGCGGCACAGGAGCAGGAGCCGGGGCTCCGCTATGAGCACGTCTGCTCGGCTCCCGCAGGTTTCCAGTCCCCACAGAGGAGCCCCGCCGCTCCCCAGAGCTGCGGGCGTTTCAGGGGCCCCGGCCGCACGGGGCGGAAAGCCACGCAGCACTCATCTCACTCAGCACCGAGGGGAGCGGCGGGCAAGTACGAACTGAAGACGGACTGGATACGAGGAGAAAACAGGTCAGAAAAGCATGGCCGTTCCTGATCGGAACAAACACTCCTGCATTCTATTCCCAGCAAGTGTCACAAAACGGGTGTAAAACTCAATACGGGAAACAGTCATCTCTTCACCATCAAACAGAGCCCAACAGCAAGTCCGCAGCTACTCCCGGTGCCGGTGCGAGGACACGCCGGTGCCCGGCCAACGAGACCCCCGTCCGGCGAAGCGGCAGCAAGAACGGCGACCTCAGCGGAGCCGCGGGCACTAGGGACGCAGCTCGGACCTGGAACTGGCCAAGGACAACTTCGTTTCCATGTCACGCAGCTTTGTCTGCAAGATTTTCAAAACCTCTTCCATCTGTTGCAGCGAAAAAGGGGATTAACAATCACACGACTGCAACCGAAATCAGACATGGCTGAGTGACTAGAACACACATCAGTGATACAACTTCTGACCGTCTGCATTAGATATTCCATGTGTATCAATGAAATCACTTAAACTAAATGTTATTTAAATAACACATAAGCCTACGAACAGTTCTCAACCTCTGACAGCTTTTTAAAGAAAGGTTTCTTTTGTTGAAAATAGGATTTTACTTATTTTTAGAGAGAAAAGGAGAGGGAGAGAAACATCAATCGGCTGCCTCCTGCACACCCCCCATTGGGGATGGAGCCTGCAACCTGGGCCTGGGCCCTGACTGGGAATCGAACCGTGACCTCCTGGTTCAGAGGTCAATGATCAACCACTGAGCCACACGGCCGGGCTCGGCAGCTCTTATTCACTCCTCACCATCTTGCCTCTGCCAGGAGGTGTCAACATGCACGAGTACGACCGCTTCCACCGTGAGAACTGAGCCCAGTGGAGGAGCCAGGTGGCGGAGAGAGATTTACGTGTGACCGTCCTGGAGGCCGTGCCCTCTGGCCTGGCATGAAATGGCTTCGCTATTTCTTTTGATTGAGCTTTAGCTTAACTTGTCCCCAAACCGCGGCCTCTGACGCCGGGACCAGAGGCAGCGCGGAGGGGGGCTCCTCCGACAGAGCGCGGGCAGTTACCTGCTTCAGTGAGTTCTCCATTTCCGTTCTGCTCTCAAGACTGAACGCCTGGTCGTCCGACACGATCTGCTTCTCGGAGGACCCTAGGACGTAACTGCACCACGGAGTTAGACGGAGCGAGCAGGTACTGGGCCTGCGTTCGCGAACCATGTTTCAGTTCTAAGTCTATTACACTACGTGTCAGCACCCAGTGAACACACACAGCTGTTTCTGTCACCAGCCCGTCGAAAGCTGTCCCTCCCAACATCACGTTTCCTGCCATGCAAGTGTGGTCCAGACAGTCCTAAACATCCCCCAATGCGATGGCCCTGCATGATGGGCATAAGCCGGCGGCAAAGCGTTAGCGCTCACAGTTCAAAGTCCTACTGCCCAGTTTCTGTATGTGGCACCGGGAACGTGCGCTCTCACGTTGGCCTTTTAGTGAACAGTCATCTCTCCAGTCAAACCTGGCAGCTCCCACAGTCACCCCACTGCTCCCTGCTGGCCGCTCCGGGGCCGAGACGCCGGTCCAGAGAAGCTGAAGGGCCGGAGGACTGGCCGGCAGTGGGCGCAGCAGCAGCGCCGGGAACCCACAAACTCTCAGCAGCGAGGGGGACGGGCCAGGAGCTCCCAGAAAACGGGCTCCGTTGCACTCAGTCAGCAGAGCCTGCCCCCTGCAGCAGCCTCACGTCACTCCTCTGACGGAATCAGCGCGGCCTATCTGGGAAGCCGGCTGATTCAAGGTCTAAAAACAGCCGGAGGCGGGACTGAGGGCACTCACCCGCTGTTTGGAGGAAGGACGATGAGGCGGGAAACGGAAGAGGCACCGAGGGATTTAGGAAACGGTCAGTGCCCGTGGCCGAGGGCGCCCACGGCTGAAACCAACCAGGCTCCTCGCCTTAGGGTTCCGCCCAGAGCAGCGCCCGTGTGGGTCCCGGGCTGAGTCTGCCCCTCACTTCCTTCCACAGACACGTCCCTTTCGATCCTGCACCAGCCCCACGGCCCCGAGAGCTCCCGTCCGCCCTCTCCCTCCCTCGTCACGGATCCGTGTCACATCCTCACAGGACCAAGGGCGCCCACTCGCTGGGCCTCTGTGCGCTGCAAACAGGGAACCTGCGCTCTGGCCAGGCCTGCAGCACGAGCCATGCCCGCACTGCTCCCGTTTTAAAATGTTTATCTAAGCCTTTCCCGTTTCCCTTGTCAGAGCATAATTAGAAGAGAAAATGTAATAAAAGTAGGAAATCTAAGAAACCGCTCCGGAGTGACAACACCCGCGAGGACCAACGCCCAGGCACTTCCTCTCTCACGGGTTCTGTCCTTCCGTCCGTCCGTCTGTCCAGACGCGCAGGCTCGGAGGTGTCTTTCTTTAAGGTCGTGAGGCCGCGTCCTGCCCAGGACGAGCAGAGGTACAGCGGGGCCATTGGATTTATTTAACTTCGTGTTTCCTATAAAACGGCTCATGGACTGGAAGGCCATTAAGACGCTGAGCTGCCACCAGGCCCCAGCCGGCCTGGCTGCCTGGAGACCCGGGGGCGGCCCTTCCTGGCCCTCGGGAGTGCGAGGACGGCGCCTGGCAGGGTTGGGACACAGGCAGCTGGACCTGGTGCCCACGTCACCGAGCACCAAGGCCTCCCCTACCGACCGGCTGTGAAATCCCCATTTCTCCTGGACGTTCGAGGAGGCTGACCACTGAGGGGGAATCAAACGGACAAAGCGGAGGACCCCCACGGTCCGGCTCCATCAGAGCCGACCCAGCAGCCCCTGCGCCGGCGTCACTCTGGGAAATGCTCTCTCGGTGCGTCCTCCACACAATTCACAGCGTCTGAGCTCCCGTCACTGGCTTCGCGGCCAGAAACGGTGACCTGGACACGTGCTCGCACAGGCGGACACTGGTGTCCGCACACCGATGGCTCGCGAGCCGCTCAGAGCGCTGGCCGGCGCACTCACCTCTCCGTGGCCCCCACGCCGAGGCAGAACAGGTCCCTCTTGTAGTCCAGGTGGCCGGGCGTGCACCGGTAGATGTAGCCGAGGGACAGCGCGCAGCCCGCGCAGCGCAGGGTCTCCAGGATGCTGCGGGAGAGACGTGTCGGACCAGGCGGCACCTGCCCAGGAGCCCCTGCTCACACCACAGGAGACACCGAGGTTGCTCAAGTGACTCCGTCCTCAGCCACACCCATAAGGGAGACCGCAGTGAGGTGTGGATATGAGAAACAGACAGTCATTCCCAGGCTCCTAGCAACAAGGGCAAACACACCTCATCCTACTCCAGCCGTGGGCAAACTACGGCCCGCGGGCCGGATCCAGCCCGTTTGAAATGAATAAAACTATTGAAAAAAAGGACCGTACCCTTTTATGTAATGATGTTTACTTTGAATTTATATTAGTTCACACAAACACTCCATCCATGCTTTTGTTCCGGCCCTCCGGTCCAGTTTAAGAACCCATTGTGGCCCTCGAGTCAAAAAGTTTGTCCACCCCTGGCCTTGTCTCTTTACCACCACAGGCCATGTGCACGTGTAAGTGCCCTTGTGTGCATGTGCCCTTGTGTGCGTGCATGTGCCCGTGTGTGCGTGTAAGTGTCCGTGCGCGTGTATATGTCCGTGTGTGCGTGTCTCTCTGTGTGCATGTATGTGTTCGTGTGCGCATGTGTCCGTGTGCGCATGTATGTCCGTGTGCACGTATAAGTGTCTCTGTGCGCGTGTCCGTGTCCATGTGTGCGTGTGTGTCCGTGTGACAGCAGCACTTCCTGCGGGCACCCTGACATGGGAAGGTGGGTGGCGCTGGTCGGAGGCGCGCTGGGCTCTGAGAGCTCACAACACAGGTGTCTTCTTTTCTCGGTTTATTTTCTGTTTCCTCAGCACCAGGCCCCACAGCCGGAAAGGGAGGGTCCCCGTGAGCCTTTAGAAACCAACCCTCCCCCCCGCAAACCTGAAGGGCTGCCATCACCCAAGGACCGGTGCGTCCCTCCGGCTGTCACACCGATCCCCGGGGTGGGGGGGAGTATCTCAGGTGACCTCACGGGTAATAACCTTTTCAGAGGTTCTACTTGAGAAGTACAGGTTTTCTTTAACATCCACACTCACGTGGACCGAGCTGCACTCACCAGCCATTCTCGTTTTCCCGTTTGGACAGTATCTGCTCCTTATCCACAGAAACGTTGCTGGAAACACCTAGAAAACAGACCAGGGACTTGTGTGTGCAGTTTGTTATAACAGATACAGACACTCAGACAACTTCTAACTCAACTTTTAATGTGGAACTCGGAGGACCAGGAAAGATAAGAGCCCACAGTCCCCAAGTGTCTCTCTCTCTCTCTCTCTCTCTCAGGCGGGTGGTTTAAAGCAATGTCCCCAGAAAACCATTCAAATAGACAAAAGGAATCCAGTGAGAGGGAAGATTCAATGGACAGTAAAACGTGGAACAATTAGAACCTCTATGCGGACACCACCGAGAGCCTGCCACACACGGCGAAACTCGGATCAAAGCCGGGGAAGAAGCTAAAGCCAACGCGGCATCTCCGAGCCTGGTCCTCTGCGTGCCGCCGAGGGGCCTCGGACGCGCCACAAGCTGAGGCCATGACTGTGCAGGGGTCACAGCTGACCCGAGAAGAAGCAAGACACACCCCGAGGGCCCGGGCCCTGAAGCCGGGGGTGGGGTGGGGGTGGGAGATGAGGGGGGATGTCCACCTAAAACGGCCAAAGCATCGGTTTCACCTCCTCCGAGTCCACATTCCACTCCATCCTCCAGGCGCTCGGACCAGAACTGGGGTGTCACCTTGACTCTCTGTCCTCATCCTGCTCCCCACACCACGACGCTGACAAGTCCTGTCAGTTGCACCTCACTGCTCTCCCTCCAGCCCCCAGCCTCCTCTCCTCCTCCTGCCTGGACCGCTGCGCCCCGACCCACCCCCACTTCCACGCTCAGGCCTCCCTCCATTGCTTCCTCAAAATTAAAATCCAGGTCAGGCCACGCCGGCTTACACAGCTCACTGCCTGGGAGACTCTGATTCCGTGCAACAGCCTAAGGCCCTGCGCTGTCGGCCCTTCCTTCCTCCTCAAGTCTGATATTTACTCCGTTCCTGGGCCACACCGGCCCCAGGCCGAGTCCTCGCTGCCCCAGGCCTGCCCCAGCAGCGAGCAGGACCCGACGTGCACGCACGGCCAGGCGGCCATCGCGCACAGAGAGGAGAGACACCCCCAAGCAGCCAACCTGAGCGCTCTTCGGGGGGGGACAAGCGATGCCTGTAACCAACTCCCCAGCCCAGGAAGGAGACCCGATTCCTAGGCCTGCGCGAGCCGGTCAGCCCCGGACTTGGGAAACGAGCTCCGTCAGCGTCCCATAAAAGCTCAGGGACGCCCGGCCGTAGCCGGCTGCTCAGAGCATCGCCCGACACGAGGCTGTGGGTTCTGGCCAGTCAGGGCGCCTGTAAGAGAACCGACCGCTGCGCGCATCAGTAAGCAAAAGAACAAGGCCACGTTCTCCCTCCCTCCCTCCCTCCCCTCAATCAGTATTTTTTCAAAAAGCTACATGATCACGCTATAGCTACGGAACAGTATGTACATGTTATGAATCTTGACAAAGTAAAAATAACTCAACTTGCTCACACTGGGGCAGGAGGGAATGAAAATTAATCCAAGCGTCCATTTTGTCTTTCACTGGGGGCTGGGGTGGGTTTGTCACATCGATTTGTAAAATCCCCATTTTACAGAGAAAACTGAGGCAGCGAGGCTAAGGAACTTGCCCAAGGAGACACAGCTAGTAGGCGGCAGGCCAGGGTCCAAACCCGCACAGGAGAGGGGCCATCGCCAGGCCGTGCTGCCTGTCAGCAAGGGTACAGCACCTGCTAAATCCATGAAGTACATCTGTATACACTAATACGGAGAATATTCAGAATGTGTGTGTGGACCAAAACAATACATGCTTAACATATACACACTACAACCTCCAGTGTGTTAACAGTTCACACGTTTAATACGCTGGTCCATGCAGGGAGCCCGCCAGCAAGTCCAGATGAGAACAAACTCGGGGGCCACCTCAGTGTCGGGGTCAGCAGGGCAGGTCCCCGCTCTCACACCCTCTGCACATGGTGTCTCCCACGATCAAAGGGCTAATCCCAATAAAACACCATGGAAATGTCTGCTCTTAGGCTTCTGTTTAACAGCTAAAAGGGACGCAGCAATTACTGCTTCTTTTAAAAATATCTTTTTATTGATTTCCGAGAGAAAGAGAAAAGAAACATCACCGATGAGAATCATGGCTCGGCCTCCTGCACGGCCCCTACTGGGGATGGAGCCTCAGCCCAGGCCGGTGCCCTGCCGGGAATCCAGCCCTGACCTCCGGGTTCACAGGTGGACGCTCAGCCCGGGCCACACCCGCCGGACTGGCCGTCACTGTCCATGAACCGACGCCTCCCGCCGGGGAACAGCGGGCGGCAAACAGCTCCCGGGCCCTGCGGGCACCGGTGTCCGCCCTTCTCCCCAGTATTTCACTCCAGGAAGGAATCTTCAACTGGAAGCCCACAAGCCAAGAACAGCCATTTTCACACCAATTCAGAAAAAACATAGTGAGCCGCTCCCCTAAACAAACACGAGGAAAGCAACCAAACCGGGGAGCGAGAAGCCTGCGGGTGGGGCTGAGGCCAGGAGCCCCCCCTCACCGCTCTCCGCCCCGGGTTCCTGGGCGCCCCCTGCAGGTTCGCTTTACAAACAACAACCCCGGACACTCGGACCGCCGGGCGCCCGCGGATGCACCTGTGACGTCAGTGCTGACCCCGGGAAGCAGGCAGCGGAAGGGCGGAAGGTCCCACATCAGCCTGCCCGCGAGGGCTTCGGGGAGGCTACACGAAATGCTCAGGATTTTGTTGTTTTTTTTACGAACGCTCACATCGATGCTGATCCAACCGCTACCGATGCATGGACGACGGACCGGGAGGCCACGGAAGGGACCTGTCACTCGCGAGCGCACGGGGCGGGG